GAGTGAGGTTATACGAAAGGAAATTTTAACAAAAAAAATTAATTCGTAAAAATGGAGAAAAAGAAAAAGATGGAAAATGACTGGGTCATTACAATTAAAGTGATGTGTCTAGTCACGAAGAGCCATCATTATGACTATAAATACCCTAGGCTAATATCATTCAATAATTCATTTCAGATAGAGAATTCACGAGAATTTTCTAGTTTCTTGTAATACCCCGTAATTTTAAAGAGTTTATTTAAATTAATTTTGTGTTAGGTTAATTCTTTAATGTGTAGATTTATTCACCTTTTAATTATATATGTTAAATTATTTAATTAATTTTATTTATTTGTGCATGTAATATTGATTTTATGTTCTATATATTATAATGATTAGTTTAGAAAATTTATTGGCTATGTTTTAGATTAATTAATATTAGTTAATTAAAGTATTTAATTTGTATTGTATAATAATAATAATAATAATAATAATAATAATAATAATAAAACAATGTCATGATGTAAAGTGAATATTAGGATATAATTTCATTTACTATGGTAGAATGGTAGATCAAATATCTTGACTAAGATTGCATTGTCTTAAAGCCATATAGGTGGGAATGTTGAAAGTTAATGTTTAAGTTAGATATTTGTATTATATATATTATATAAATTAGTATATATTAGTTAGTTAGTTACAATTTGAAAGAAACTCATGTAAGTAGAAGAGCAAAATAACAGTGATCATTGTAAAAGTGTGGAAAGGAAGAGAGAGAGAGAAAGGAGCTTGGACCGGTGTAGGAGAAATTTACCTGACTACGCGCAACCGGCGGATTTATTTTAAATCCAAAAAGGCAAGTTCTTATCTATTTTTCCCCTTTGAATCCATAAATTAATTGTTTAAATTATTTAAATTATTATGGAGCCTTGAGAGCATGTTAGGAGTTAATAAATTATTATTTTTAGTTTATTTAATTAATAAAATTTTAATTATTTAGGATGGTAGATATTTAATTATTATCCTATACAATTAAATCTAGATAAAAATAATTATTTAAGGCTTCAGGGATTTTTCTAGAATTTTCTAGAATTTTCCGGTAATTTTATGCATTTTCCGGCGAGGCTCCGGCGAGATTTCCGGTCGCCGGCAGCGGGGAAGAAGACCGGAGCAATCCGGTGTGTTGCGGCACAAAGTACCCTGTGTGCGCATGGATCCATGACCGGTTGATGGGAAATTGATTAAAAGATGGATTCGGTGTAGCGCGGGACACCATATGATGGTGCGCGCTAATCATCAGCCGTAGGATGAAAGGAGCATAGGTGGATTGATCCGGTGTGGCGCGCATGTAGGAAAGGTGATGCAGCCAACCAACCGGAGGACGCCACGTCTGCAGGAGCCTTCAACGCGCGCGTGGGAGCGCGTGGAAGCGCGTGCAAGCGCGTGAGAGAGTGGAAAACATTGGGTTGCGCGTGGGGAAGCTTAGGGCGGCGCGTGGGGGCGCTTGAGGGGCCCTGTCAGCTGCTGGAAATTACCAGATTACCCCTAGGGCCTGTTTTGTAAATTCCAGAGCCTTAAACTTGGATTTTTAGGTACGGTGTTGGTATTTACGGGTTTAACGAGCCACAAAATTATTATTTCAATACCCGTTAAGTATTATTATGGCCGATTAATATTTCTAAACCTTAATTGGCCCGTTTACCGTACGGATATGAATGTGATTCATTTGAACAACATTACTATAGGTTGTGTTATTATTTTATTAAATGGTATTCATTAGTACTGTTAATAATGTCACGGTTATCGTCATATAAGTTATCCATTAGATGTTATGGGATATTTATACTGTTAATCATATATCAACCATGATTATTATGCTGTGTGCATTTCAGAGAATAAATGAACTGTTTAAATTATGTCGCATTTATATTACATGGATGTGTTGCCATATAGAACCATGTGAGCTGGCTAATAAGTTTAGACTCATTTATACCTTATGCATTCGTTGCTATAGACAGATGTGTGGCTGTCGGGGTATGTGGTTTAATATTATTGGCATGTGTTGCCTAATTGACATGCTCAGTATGTTTAGTAATATTATTGGCATGTGTTGCCTAATTTATATACTCAGTATATTCATCAGTACTTTGAGAGGTGTTATCACTGTATAGTTCGTTATAGTCTGTATTGTCAGTACCATGCACCATGTATAATAGCTGATTTCCCGGGTAGGGAAAGGCGACACTTAACCACCTAGTGTGAGTCTAAGTGATCATCGTCTATTCTGGTTGAGGTCATGTTATACATTGGATAGTTCCCTTAGGGTGTATACAGATATAGTACTCGTCCGATTCATAATGATTAATTTATTTGATTCTCTGATTTGGGTCATAGTAGAGAGGACTTGCTCGTGGGGTTGACCCACCATTGTTGTTATTTCAGGATACGATCAGTACCCGTTCCAAGGTTGAGGTTAGCAGTGTGGGACCACCATCCGAACTCATCTACTCTTACGATCCAGTTCAGGGTAGAAGTTTTATGTATTACTTCAGTTTCAGTTTTTATTTACTTTTGACGTTGAACTCTTAGGTTTATATTTAGGAATCCTTGATATAGGATTTCCAAGTTGTAATGGAGTACTGTATTTAAATAAAGGATGGATGGATGTTGTATTATTTAGTGTTCCTTTCCTGTCTAAATTCTTTTATTATCATCATTTTATATTCCATACTTGTATATTGCCAATTGTTTTTGATATCTCTCGTTTTTCGTGTATAAGCCTGATCAACTTATGCGTGGAAAATGTTGGGGGTGTCACATTTCTTCTCTCCATCTCTCATGAACCCAAGTGGGTTCAACCCATTAGTCAAGTGGTCTGAACCACTAGACCCAATATCTACAGTAATGAGCCATATTGCAATTGGTCTGAGTTAAATGGTTTAAATGGAACCCAAATCATATTTTTAATAGTATAAATGCATTTCTTAGTCAGAGAGAGTATTACACCGAGGTGGTTCGCCGCATCCATGAGTTTGAAATACTGCTACTGCTGGATGTAGACCAGACGCTGTATCCTGGGAGACAAATATTGTTGAGTCCTTTAGCACCATGCGGGGCGTAAATTATCTTAAGGATATAGTATCCAATACTATCGCTAGTTCAAGTTATTTATTTATTTATTTATTATTATTATTATTATTTTATTGCTTTAATTTGAATATTTAATTAAATATCGAGTTGCATATTTAATTAATTATTTTTAACATGTTACTAATTTTTTTTTTAATGGTATATTAGTATAACGTTAGTTATATCGTATATAATTTCGAACATTATAAGGGTAAGCTTCCCAGCTTCAAGGTTTTTTAACTCCACATAGGAATTTTTCCTTGTAAAAAAAGATTTGGTGTCAAGTCTGATTTTGTGGCAGTGCCATATCATCAAACAGAAGTGTGGAATTAGGGTTCCTAATTGTTGTCACCTTGCACTGAAGTCAATGGACCAAAATTGGGAAAATTTCAGTTAAGTACATGTATCAATACATCAATAGAATGTAGACAAACCAATTCACCCCCTCTTGGTTTATCACACACTTTTTGACACAAAAATATGCCAGTAATTACAAAAGTTATACTTCACAGAGCTAGCAGTAGATTGTTTAAACTGGACTAAAAAAAATTTACTAAATCTTTTATAATGAAGATCTAGTTTGTAATCTTGGTAAGTTTTACACCACATGATTTAGATTTGTTTTTAAAAAACTTGATAACTCGTTGGCTTATAATTAAGCTAAGTAATTAAGATAAATTAAAGATTTACAAAATCTAATTACGATAATAGTACTGCAAGTGATCTTGAGAAAGCATCAAATCGAGCCACTCTCTCGAGTCATTTTTTTTCTTCTACATATATATTACTTTTGTTTTTATAGAAACTTAATTGAATCCCTAAACTTCTTTGAAAAGTTAAGAGAATTATCGTTAAACTATGACAAATTGAGTGCATAAGCATAAACATATAGGTTCCATTTTATTTTGGTTGCGAATACCTAAAGAGTTAGAAAACCAATTTAATTTTGAGGTAAATTAAGAAATGAAAAGAGAAAACAAGAAGAAAAAAAAAAATTTGCAATTATTAAATGGGTAACAATTCTGCATTATACACCTGAATTGAGGAAAGACTCGAACAAATTTCTCTCTGCCAAATAAATGCATGCTCCTAACCATAAAATGCCATCCCAACCTTGCCTTACTGGTCGGCTTGATGCAATTCGAGGCCTAAAGTGAAATAGTTAAATTTGAACTTATCAAGTTAACTATATTAATTTAATATTATTTCTATTTTTAGTTTAAAAGATATTCACTCAGTCCTAAATTAAATGTTTAATTTTTTATTTTTAACTCTCCTAAAATAAATGTCTCATTTGAAAAGTTAAAGTACTACTTTTTGTAACAATACGAATTTAACCTTCTTGCATTGAAATTATAAAAAGTAAATAATTACATCCTGTAGACACACTATGGACAGATTTGGTAATTCATTTATTACTAATTAATACAATAAAAAAGTATTAAAACCCATCCTCTTAAAAAATTATACTCTCATAAAGGAACATTTAATTTGGGATGGAGAGAGTAACAATTTAATTATACATGCAATTGATGCGAAAGAAATTCAATAAATTACAAAGTCTAACACAAATATAATGTTTTTATACAAAAAGAATTTAAAAATTAGAAAGAGTAAGGTGTGAGATTGTTGAGAGAAATAAATGAAAATTATGATAAGATAAAAATTTCCATGTAAAAGAAATTTGTATGAATCAATGAAAGAGCAATTGTATTTATTTATTTTTTAAAACCTTTTTAAGGAAACAACTAATTTGAGGCATCAAAAAGAAAATAGTGCACTACCATTATTAAGTATTCCCTGATATTGTATATTTACTTATTTTGTTTATATATGGCTTCACATTAGGAACTTGGGCTCTTTCCTCTTCTTTAGTCTGCATCTCTCAGTCATTAACATTGCAGGCGATGACTCGGTACGGCAACGAGTTGAATCGCCCTCGGAGAGGTGAACCCGAACACATCATTCATATCAAGTTCACTGGGTTTCATACCATCAGGTAACTCCCATGTAAAGCAATGACAAAGTTGTGCCACTGTCAGCTCCAGTGTATACAGTCCAAGTTTCATGCCCGGGCAGGACCTACGTCCTGACCCGAATGGTATGAGTTGGAAATTGCTTCCTGTAAAATCCGGGGCATCACCATGAAGAAACCTAGATGGCTTGAACGTGTCGGGATTGTCCCATGCGGCTTTGTTGCGACCGATTGCCCATGCATTGATCATGACATGTGATTTGGCCGGAATTTTGTACCCGGCCACCGTGCAATCCGTGGCGGTCTTGTGAACGAGTACCGGGATCGGCGGGTGGAGCCGAAGGGTCTCTTTGATGACACATTTGAGGTACGTGAGCTTCACGAGGTCAGACTCGTGGACTCGGCGGTTTTGGCCCACCACGTTGGAGAGTTCTTGTTGCACCTTCTTGAGGTCCGCCGGGTTCTTCATTAGCTCCGCCATGCACCACTCGATCGCCGATGCCACGGTTTCCGTTCCACCGAACATCACATCCTATAATAATGGCAATTAGAACGTGATATTTTTTTTATTTTATTTCTAACTTTCAAAAAAAAATTAGAACGTGATTTAATTAAGTTTTTGTTCGAAAAAATTAAATCCAATTGAAATAATGGTTTGGTAAATTGTTACACTTTAGAATAATAGATTTAAGAATAAAATAACTGAAAATTCATAATATATAACAGGTGAGAATTTAAAATTATAAACAAAAATAAATCTGAGAATTTAAATTTTATTTAAAAAATATAATACAAGTCAAGCGAAGACAAGAAAATTATGGAACATAGCATATACAACATTTATATCACAAGAAGTTATTATTTACGACAGAAATTTAAAACAACAGAAAATAAGAAATTAATATATAAAAGTTAGAAAATTGTAAAAAAAAATAAAAGAATTTTTTTTTTGATAAATTTACTATTCATAACATATATGATATAGATAGCATAAAAAGTCCCCATTTACAGTAAAAATTTAAAAAACAGAAGCAAAATAAATTTATAAATTAGAAAAAAGGAAAAAATTACATATACACGAGGGGACCGTTTTTTACACTAACATGAAGTTAGTTAATTTTCAAAATGTAAATAGTTGAATTCTTCAAATTGCTGAGGTGGATAGGAACAAACCTTATGCATTATTTTGAATTATCTGATATGCAACGGACCATTCTACTAATTTAATATGGGTCAAAAATATTATTGATATCATGATGATGTCAATTCCCACTCACATAAATCAGTCCAATTTGTGGGACTTTCAAATTTCAAATCATTATCTTTTGTATATATCATCCGAAAATGGTCCACTTGAAAAAAGTTTAAAATGCATATTAAATAATTGAAAATAAAAATTTTCATTCATGTCCACCTTAACAATTTTGAAAAATTCACCTATTTAAAATTTGAAACCCTAAAAAGGTCCCTAATTTCGGGTATATATATGTGTAATTTTTCTTAACAAAAATTAGTAGTCGGGGAAGCAAGAGTGTTAACTTAAATCACTGTGATTAGATTCATGGTTATACGAATTTCTTACCATGATTAGAGCTTTGATGTTATCTCTAGTGACCTTAAAGGAGAACTGTAAATCTTTGGATTCATTTTCAAAATAATTTTCCTTGTAAAATTTCAGTAGCTCATCCACCATATCTGTATCAACTTCATCTAAGCAGTTGTTGAGATTGCTAATCTTTTTCTTCGCCATGTGATCGTCGATGATCTTGCCGATAAACTCATCAAGCGATCTTCGAGCACTGATAAGCCTCTCGTTGAATTTTTGTCCACAAATCCAACCCAACCATGGTATAAAATCCCCAATAGTAGAAGCCCCAAAGAGCTTCGAAAACTCCTCTATAATCTTCCCGAACTCGTCTTGTCCTTCACGTGATATCGACCCGAACGCAGCCCGATAGGTTATGGTTTTTGTCAAAGCAAGCGCCAACTCGGCCACATTGACGGAGGATCCAACCTTGGCCGATATGGTCCCCATCAACCAATCCACCTCTTCATTTACCGATTGCCACGACTCGGCCCGTTTCGGACTGAACAGCTTCATGACACAAATCTTACGTGTCTCGCGCCAAAACGGGCCGTAGTCGGCAAATGCCATGTCGGCTCGGTCGTAGGTCAAGAAGCTTATGGCCGTAGTGGCTGGACGGTTTGAGAAGGCGTTGTCCTGGACTTGGAGGACTTCTCGTGCCATGTCTGGGGTGGACACGGCCACCGTGTGTATTCGACCCATTTTGAGGTGAAGCAGGCCGCCGTATTGCTTGGCAAGCCGGGCTAGTCCGCGGTGAGTTAACTGATCCATCATCAGCATGTTTCCTATCAACGGTAAGCCTTTTGGGCCGGGTGGGTATGGAAGTTTTGGGCGTGAGTGACTGAAGAAGGTCATGACAAGGAAAATGAGAGCAACCATGAAGCACGAGAGTAAGGGCTGCAGAGCTTGAAGTGAAGAAGAGTCCATGACTAGGTGTGGGTAACATTCAAATGTGGTGGTTGGCGGAGTTCTAATGTATCTCATGTTTATAGGTGTATATACATTTATATATGAAAAAAGGGAGAGAGTTAAGTGGGTGATTGATATGTACCTAAAAATACAAAAACAACTAATTCTTCGGTGGTAACAAACCTTTGACAGCTGAAATTGGGTTTTTGAAAACTGAGTATTCATAGTACTGAAAAAGTTGGTGCAAAAATATTAGACTATGTTTAGAACTAAGTTATACAATCTTTTTTAATGAGTATCGAAAAGCTGCAATTCTCACCCCCACTCACGCTTTATGTGATTTAAGTTTAAAGGAGAAAAACTTTTATAAAAAAAATATTCTTATCACAGGAATAAGATCGTATCACCTATTAATTAAATAAATTCAAATAAATGCAGACACATAAGTTATAAAAATGTACATAATTTAGTGGATTCTATACGTATTTTCGTATTTAATTAGTGTCTAATACAATTTTATCACTACCAGGAGTATGGGTTCATGTTGGAAACAGAAATAGTTAAGAAAAAAAGAAAAAAAAAAAAAAAGTTTTATAAACTTAAAATTAGCTCAGAAATTTCCAAATTCAGCTGAGGAGCATTCTAGACTAATATTTCAAATTCAACCAGTTGTGGGCCCAACAAGTTGGGGAGCAGAGTCACGTTCAACTAGTTGGGGAGCAGAGTTTTAAGCACAAAATATTCCAACAGGTACAAAAGTTAGTTTCTGGTAATCTTCTTTTCAGAATTTCATGACAAAACTACCTAACACAATTATAACTTAACCTGCAACAAAAACAAAAAACACTTAGGGCCTGTTCGGAGGCCCGATATTGTTTTGGTGTTTTGATTTTGGTTTTGGGTCAATATCATGTTTGGAGCGGGCTGATATGGTATTTAACAGTGCCAAAACATTATCATTTTTGGGCCAAAACTCATATCAACATTTTGGTGATATTTAGACTGATATGGCACTGTAGCGGTGAATTGATCTCAAACCAAAACCAAACCAACCCTCGTTTTTACTGTAGCGGTGATATCATGTATATAAGATCGCATATCAGATTTTAGGTCATTTTTCAGCATCGTTTCTCTCTCTTCGCGTAGCTCCCTGAAAGGCGACTTCAGTGGCGATCCAACCTTTTCCACCACCGATCTGGCAGAGCTCCTCCACCAGGTACGTCATTTTGTGTCTCTGTTTGTATCTATAGATCACATATATCTTCGCTTTTGAGATTTACATTTGGGAGGTCCTCGTGTTCACTTTCTCTCTCTAATATTGTGACAATCAGAGTCTATATTGCTTTTCCAAGTTCTGATCTTTATTCCAATCATCTTGTGAGTGTTGTAATTTAGGGCATTTGTGTCCAGATCTCAAGTTTCTCCACCACCGATCTGGCAGAGCTCCTCCACCAGGTACGTCATTTTGTGTCTCTGTTTGTATCTATAGATCACATATATCTTCGCTTTTGAGATTTACATTTGGGAGGTCCTCGTGTTCACTTTCTCTCTCTAATATTGTGACAATCAGAATCTTTATTGCGTTTCCAAGTTCTGATCTTTATTCGAATCATGTTGTGAGTGTTGTAATTTAGGGCATTTGTGTCCAGATCACAAGTTTCATGAGGCTGTGACGGAGATCTAGGGTTTGATTTTAGCCCTGTTTCTGGGTTGTTTCTTCTATCAACCATGGTTCTGATATAAGGGTTTATATGTCATCCATCGATTGTGTGTGTTGTAATGTGGAAGCAATTAGAATGTTGACTGAGTTAATTATAGCTATCGATTTTAGCGATATTTTCAAGATCTGTTCTTGGTCCAAATTACAATTTTGTAAAGGATCTGTATTATGTATAAATCAACCTAACAGGCTCTTATATCATATCAGGCTTGATCGTACATTAAAAAGCAAAATTAAGATTGATATTTGTAAATTATTAAATTGTTTGAATGATCAATTTGTTGTATTATATTATTTAAGGACAAATGGGAGGACAAAAGATTCGACAAAAGGATAAATTTTAAACATTCATCAACTTTTAAATTCTCAAACTTAGGATGATGAAATCTACAGCCAATATATTTTTTTTTTTTAATTTGTGCATTATATTGGCTAGGCCCCGCCAATTTTTAATGTATGCTTCACAGTTCTGTAAACATTCAAACCAGTATAATTTAGACGACTTGAAAAAGAAGAATAAATACAAGTAAATTCTAGAATAAAATTTAAACTAGGGAATTCAAATATCAACAGAAAATGGAGTTTCACTATTATCTTTCCACAAGACCATAACCAACAAAAACAGACCCTAAATGTAAAAAACAGAACAAGACTTGAGAATACAAGAATTGGAGTACTAATCTTGATAACAGAACAACTTCCAGCTACAGCACCAAGAAATCCAAACGACAACCCTGATATTATGAAGAATACACCTAAAAAAAAAACACAACAGACCTGGTCAGAGCTAACAGGCCTGCTGCAGAGTAAGAGATGGCACAACATAAGCAAAAGCATTAGATCCTCAAAACAGATTCAGGCAAATCCAAATCCTGTTCTGAGTTAGCAATTTATTTAAACAGGCAAGCGAACAGATAAAAGAATGCTTGTGAATAGCTCCTTGAAACCAAACAGTCTCATTCCAAGCAACAACATTTTTCTTAGGTCTAATATTTTCCCAAGCAGTTTTAATGGTAAACTGCCCCTTACTAGGTAACAAAATAACTTGATCATTATTTAGAAAGGCTGGAAATCTGAAGGTATGACATTCCTTAGCTCAATAAGCTCAAGGGTGTTGGTTTGAGGCCACTGCCAGTGGTTATTAACTATAATATCAGCCACAGTTGTTTGTTCATTGTAAACCTGAGTCAAAGATGACTCTATTACCTATTCTCATCACAATAGGGCTCATAGGGAGCCAATAGTCATTCCATAACCAAGTGTGTGTCCTTTTACCCACTTGATGCATAATAAACATTCTAAAGTTAGTTCTAATTTGTAAGATTTTCCTCCAGCTCCAAGAACTACTTTGAGGAATTTTAATAGACCAAAAGTCTCTATTTCTAAGGAGATGAACTTTAACCCATTCAGTCCATAGAGATTGAGGCATCACTTGAACAACTTCCCATAAGTTCTTAGCCATAGCGGCCCTGTTCCAAGCATTCAACTCCAAAGACTCAAACCACCTTCCTTTTTAGGGTAACAAACATCCTCCGAAGCTACTTTTGAACCAGCATTCATTAAAGAACTACCCTTCCACAAGAAATGCATTAAAATCGAATTTATATCTTTAAAAATAGCCTTATTATTTTATTTTTTTTATAAGTAATAATATTAAAAAAGGCGTTCAATAGGGGAACTCGTCCCGTAGACATAAAAGAAACCGGGGTCTAAGGCCCCAAAGAATCCAAAAAAGAAATTAAATCAACAGAAGAGGAACACGAACTTTTGTTCACATAACTAAATAGAGAACGAATCGCTTGTTGAATATTTGAATATTCATTGGTAATATAAGAAAAAGAATAAACATTTACATCTCTTTGAAAAAAATGCACTGATAATTTGTCAAATCTTGTCAATTCACATTCGCATATTTGTTGATATTATACAAAAATTCATAGGGTTGCAATTAAGTTTCTAAAGAATGGCCTAAAGAATACTATTATACATTTATTTACTGGAACACTCACTATGCACTAAATGATTAGAATATTCTCTCAGTATATTATGCACACATCTGAAACAAAAATATGATTGTTGCCATCTAGAGGTATTACTTCTGTGAAATGTACTTGCAATAATATTTCCCTGAAATTTCGTAAAGAGATAAAGACAGTACCTTGTGTGTTATACTGCTATATACCACTTTCCTTCACCTTGCTCTTCGTGAGATGAAGTGTTTTATAGACAGTACATTTTTTACTTATCATTGACGTGTTGAATTATGAGTCAAAACACAATTCAATATACTAAACTGTTCAATTACTTAATAATAATCAGATGGACATGAACAATGACAATGTTGAGCAATACCCATCAAGAGACATTCATTCTCTTGATGGTGACAATGGTGAGGATGTTGTAGTTGTTGAACAGGCCGATGCCGCTGTTTGGTGTAATGCCCATCAAGAGAAATTCATGCTCTTGATGGAGGAAGAGGTTGGAAAAGGAAATCGTACAGGCACGACTTTTAATCCAAATGGGTGGACACGTATTGTGGACGCAATGTTATTAGAAACTGGAAAGAAGTACACGAAGGACCAATGTAGACAAAAATTCAATAATATAAGAGCATTGTACAAAGATTGCAAACAAATATTATCTGAGACTGGTGTAGGGTACAACAGTGAAACTGGAATGATTGACTTGGAAGCTGAAAGATGGGTTCGATTGTGCAAGGTTAGTATTTCAATACGTGTCTATTTACCATACATACAGTAAATAATTAGTGATTTAGTATTAAAAGGGTTTGATGAACAATAATTGTAAGCTGATAACGTGTAGATTCTCAAGCATGGAAAAAAAATAAAAAAACAGGGGTGTAAGAATTATGAGCAGATGGTAAGGATTTTTGGGAATACACATGCTACTGGCAAGCATGTTCATCCTTCTACAAAGCCACCCAGACCTCACCAAGTGCTAACAATGCCTCAAGTGGCAACACATGAAGCTCAAATTCATAACATTGAGGGCAATGTGGGCATGACTGATGTAGAACGACCTAATGTAGAAGGACCTAATGTAGAAGGACCTATTGACCTCAGTCCTACTCCCAAACCTATAGCTAAGAAACAGAAGAAAGAAACTTTTTCAGAAACAATGTCTTTAGTGATGGAATGTTTGACTAATATTAGGAACGCGAAAGCTGAAAAAATTGCAAAAGCCATAGCAGAATCATCTTCTAGTTGTTAACCATCTCGATTTACCGAAATGCCTGAAGTGACATATCCCAGTAAAAAAGAAAAAGAAATGGATCCCC